GTTAATGACCCAGTTTTATTCATCGTCGTATTAGAAAAAATTACCACGACTCATTTTGATTCTCTATCGCGATTGAAAAGATTACTACGAATCCATTTATTTCTCGTCACATTTGAAGAATTAATTATCGGCGACTAAATCTCTTTTGGTAAATTCGAAATCTTTCGATTTCGGTGGGTTTCGATGGGTTTCGATTTTGAGACCTCCGGAAGGAGTACCCTCAATAAAGGAACGGTTTGACATCGCCGCTAGATTGTAGGAGAAACACATACATTTAGCATAGCCCGATATAGTTATAGGGATAGGATCTTTGTGTAGAAAGAAATAGAAAGAATGTTACCATTATTCTTGAAGAAATAGTATTCTGTAATCGTCATAAAACATTCTTATATTTTTGTAGTTGTTCTCAGAAGAATGCACGAGGCCAAAACATAAACGAAAATTTTGGTATCACAAAAATAATGAAAAGTGGTTAAAGGGATGTGGGACACGACCGTACAGTCAAAAACTACGAGAGTAGATAAATAAATATAATGATGCTACCAGCTCAACACCTCCTTTGGATCGTGAAAAGATGTACATTAAGAATCCACTGTTTGTCCCTCAAATGCCTGCTTATAAGAATGATAAAAAAAAAGTAATGTTCGATTCAAAATCTAAATATTTATCGAACGAGTATGGAATTCTTGCTTAGGACGGTTGAGAGTCAGATCTTAAGAGTTAATGTAATAAAGGAACGACCTGTAGAGATAATTTCTTATCAATACGTTATAACACTGAGGGTAATACTTGTTTATAGAAATGAACATCCTGGATATATCGAAACAGTAGGTCAATCAATATTTCACGTATATTGTTGAGCTCGTAACCAGAACGGAAAACTACTACTAATACAACAAATACCTCAAAAAAGCACGAAAATGTGGGAAAAGCGCGCTCGAAATGTTTTAGCAAAGATAGAAAATTTGTTTATTGTTTTAGGTATGAGGAGGAGTATGAGGAGAAAAGGTGTATTTAAGAATTTGGATTTTCTGTTTCTTTTATAATAAAATAAAGATGAAAAAATATTGATATCTTTGGTCCATCCCATATTTATTATTACCTAAATTAACAATATTAACTATTCCGGCTGCAGATGAACTTGTGAGTTATCAATGAGTGATTCATGTTGCATTAAAATCTATATAATTTAAATAAAAAAAAATAATAATAATTCTTTAAATCTTTGGGTTAAAAAAGTTTTCCAAGAATTGCTTCACATTTCGCAAAAATATATAGATGTATATATAATTTGAAAGGGAAAGAATGCTATATTTTATCTTGTGAATATTTTAAATAAAGAAATAAGCAAACTCATATAAATTCTACAGAATTGATTGAAATTGTTTTGTTTAAATTGTACAAAAGGAATTCTAAACCATGAATTAATCACTTCAGTTTTGAAATAGTCATAGAGGCGCACCAGATCTGTTGTGATACAAAAACGTTTTGCAATTATCCTCAAAGCTTCCAACACGGAATCTGGCTTTGAGTTGGATTTGAATTTTATTTGATGAATGGGCACGCGAACAAAAAATAGAGCGCTTCTGTTATTGAAAATTGATAATCGGCGAGTCAAATACAATTTAGATTTACAACTAAATACGAATAAATTTATTAGATTATATCATTTTTTTTGGAACATTCTATAATCAATATCAAATTGTCAAACAATTTTCTTTTTTTTCCTTTTTTTTATGTTCATTGCGTCAAAATTCCCAAACCTTAAATTCTATTTTCCATTTTCTTTTCGATCGTATGTTCTGATTATAAGAACAATCACATACATTCAGTGCATTCAGTGTACTTATGTTATTTGAAAATAAAACATCAACTGTGCGCTTCGCTTTCTTTTTTTTTAAAAACAAAAAAAAAAAAAAATATGAAACAAACATGACAAACAAATAAATTTAGATTTAATAAATATTAGAATCATATGAATCATATGTTAAATACAGTAAGTTTGTAATAATAGTATAATAAAGTATATTAAATATTACTTATACTATAAAAAAAAGAAAAGTTTATAATCTTTTTTAATAAGTAGTAATTTTTTAATTATAAATATTAGTAATTAAATAAAAAAATGGTTTTGTAAAATTAATTTACAATAAATTTTTACAAAAAAGTTTGATTCGTCGTTGATAAACGTAGCGGCAGTATCAACTTACCGCAGTTACTTCCTCTCCTTGTCTACCTCCATCACTTCAACGATCACTGAAAATTATAGTGTAGCAAAAGGCTGGATGAACTAAAAACAACAATAAACAATCAAGAGCATTTATTAAATAAAGAGAAAGAAAGTCCAGTCGTTAAATAGTATTATTGATAATTATGCTGACATGAAAATAATTTTGACCTTATAATAGGGCGAAAGGAACTCCAAGAACTCAAAATGAAAACTTTTTATTTCGAAAGGACGACTCAAAAGGTATATTTATGATAAATCGAGAAGGTAGGACTGTAACCTACTCTTTTAAAATTTTCCGGTTATTTATGAGGTGAATAAAATAATCTCAACATGAATGACATTATATCAAATCGCATGTTTAAAGCATTCGTAAGATTATTGTTGATAATAGTTGTCAAGACATAGCACCATTGAGGCGGGTGATTTTTTGTCAACAGTTTTATGATTATCAAAGTTTCATTATTGCGTCAGATTTTATTTATGCTCCATCCTACAATATTAATTTTGTTGAGTCCATTATGCCACACGTTATAATTAACCAATCATCTGGAATAATGACGCAGAAAAAAATACGACGGCGCAGTTCAAATTCGTGTGTGCTGCTCCTACGCAGTGGACTCTCAACATTCTAGTTTAAATTATTTAATTTTTTATGTAAATTATCAAAAAAGTTGAATTGGTATAGTGGTAACAGCGCTTGGCATGGTGTGAAACGTGTAGCATGCCTTGGGTTCGAATAATTGCTGCACTAATTCTCAATTTCAAAAAAAAATATCAAATTTTTTTTTTTTTTTTTTTATATTCATTCCTGATCTGACAATTTCTTAAAAGTTCCACCCTTTTTCTTTACAACAAAAATTTTATAAACCTAACATGGCTTTGCAATTTTGGAACTTTGGAATTTTAGAGCATGTTTATAAAAAGAAGGTCCACCATGGCTCGTCTCCTTGAAATAACTGTCACCACCAACTAAACAATAGTAGTATCCGGTGAAAAGTCCATACTACATTTTTTGGAAGTTTGAAAAGAACGTATGGTCTTTTCGTGCACTTATCACAACATGTTTAATGTAATAAATGCAAGACTTGGTGCAGTAATTTCTAATGACACCCATTTGAAAATAATTTAGCTCATTTCCCAAAACCATTAGTGAAATTTCAACACCGCAACATTTTGTCGTCATTTCCAAATTGTTTATAGGAATTTCTCGTATTCAAAGCTGTACAGAAAAGAGGAGCGTCCAAATGTTGGCTCAACGAATTAACTTATCAAAGAGAAATCTGCCATAATATTTTTTATGATACTGTGCAATCTAGTTTAATCGTCAAGATCGGAGATACCTTAATACGCGTAATAAATCGAACCATGAAATATGGTGATAAAGTTTCTCGCATTACAGGTATTGAGAATTTGATTGAAAATCGGATAATCTATTCATTGCTATTTCATCCTTGATGGATTTACATTCAGCTTGGAATAGTATTTGATTCTTCTCTGGAAAGTCAACCGGTAGTCAAAAAGAAAGTATATTGTATTTCAACACAAATGTAATTAATGCATTTTTTTGAAGTGGCTAATAAACATACTTCAAGATTTTTAAGAGCAAGTTAAAGAAAGGTAGCAGCGAAATTTAGAAATGATATCTTTTTTTTAGGTCTCACTGTCTTTTTTGTAGGTAATTTTATGCACCAATATTAAAATCAACCTTCGAACTATTAATACATTTTCCCTTCTTAGATAAGGATCAAAATCTAAGGTTCTTGTGACAACACAACGGAGTTAACGATATTTTTAATTTTAATTCTAATTTAATTTTAATTTCTTTTTTCTTCTTTTTAATTTTGTTTTATCTAATCGTATGATTATATAAACTATGTGAATAAATAGAACAACAACTCACCAATCTATTAGTTCCTTGGTTTAAAGATTGCCGGGTCATCAACCCCGAATTAGTGAAGAAATTTGTTTTTATTATTACTACCAAAGATTCTTGAAAAATAGATTTTAAAGAATAAGAATGATAAAAATTAGAATTGTTTAAATATCTTTTTTAAAACAATGTATCATTTTAACCAAAAAAGTATTATTAGGCCATGCAACTTCGATTTTTCGGTTCACGTAACATTGAAATTTTAAAATCGACCCGGAGACCCGGAATTTATTGTTTATTAATAAAAAAAGTTTATATATAAATTTTATACCATCTGATTGGTCAATCTTTAATTAGACAAGGCCGTGCAAAGTAAATTTTCAGATTCTTTGACCCGGCCGTGTCAGTTTACGAAAATTCAGGATTTTTTTTTTATAATAAAATTTTTATCATATGACTTACATAATAAAATTGGTTGTCAAATATAAGATTTATTTGTGTGATACAGAATTAACAATACATACTAACAATACATATAAAAAAATTTTATTATGAAAAAGAAAAAAGACCGGGTAACCGTGTCAATTTTAAAATTTTGTTATTATGAAAAATCTAAAAATTTTCTTTGCCGGCCTAATCATACGAAAATCAATTTTTCATTTCATATATTGATTCTAGTATTAGTAAATTATGTATAAAAAAATCCCTTTTTGAGAACTTTTTCCTAAATAAATAAAATAAACTTTGAAAATAATTATAGTCAAAACTCGGGAAAAGATTAATGGTATTAGATGGCATATGATCACTTGTAGTGCTGACAGATGTTAACATCGGAATCACATGCATTAGGAAGTAACATCCAAGGTGGATGCATCAAATGACTAGTTTCAGGATATCACAGAGGAACATCTCTGAGGTGGTGAGACGCCTCAATCAGAAGAAGGTTTGAATATAGTCCATGCATACGTAAGAGAAATAAGCCAAAATTTTGATGTTTCTTCCAATTCTAGCAAGAACGAAGAATATGAAAATCGGATGATGATGTTGATTATGATGGAGACTATTATCATGGTAATAGAAGATACGAAAGGAAAGTCTCACCAATGATGAATCCGATTATCCCTCCGATATACGCCTAGGGAATATTGAAGACGCGTCCTCTCACTGAGTACGCTACAGAACAAGACACGTTAAGGTATAATCCTGTGAGGAAATGGCTCAGTTAGAAGCATAGTCCGATGATCAAAGAACTAGCTCAACGCCTTTTGTCTATATAAAGATTGTTTGCTATCCGAGTTAATGATCATTTGGGCTGAATAGACTCTTCTGCGCAATGACTATAAGAGATGGATCTTTGATTTATTCAACAATTACATATTAATGTTGTTTTTTTTCCAGCCTTTCTTTGTAGGATCCATAATTCGAAACAATTACTCCCGAATCACCTTACGCGATCATAAAAATCGAAGCAAATTTATAGCCTTTGATAAAGAATTTGCATAGAAACAGCACCACACACATCAAGTGGGTCACGTTCGATGGAAATATGGGACTTTTCAATAGAAAAAGGGGAAAAAGCTGAAAAAATAAAAAA